ACTGTAGGTGTAGGAGACTATTTTCATGTTCAGCCTGCATTATTATCAACCACATCGTTAAAGAGCTGCCAAAAGCAAAATAGTTTCCTGTAGATTTCAAAGTTAATGTCATTTACAAGAAAAACATGCAAAGTTTCAATGTCACTCACATGTAATCTCACATCAAGCCACTTTGCAAATAAAACTGTGATTGGAACAGTAACCAGAAAAAATTATCAGGTAGGAATTTGTTTGTTTATTTTAATATTTGTGGTAAAAATGAACAAACTGTTTTTACATTTGTTGCATTTAATTTAAAGTTTAAAAACTATATGAGACAAAAAGGTCTTTAAAAATGTTGTTGTTTAGAAACTGCACAGCTGCACATATATTTGCAACACAATAAAAGACAAAATCAATGTTCATAGAACTATTTTACCTAAAGGAAAACCTTTATTTATGTTTGGGAATTTTAGGCAAAAGTGGATCTGTGTTAAAGCTGAACTATGTAAGAATCGAGAAATAGTGACCTCCTGTGGTCAGATTTGGTTACTGCAATTTCAGTTTCTCGGGTTGCCAGTTAGGGATATGACACTAAAGGTTTTTTGTTTTAACAATCATGAAATACTGACTGTGTTTTCACAATTATGAACTACTTAAAAAGCAATATGCTATACCATATCAAGTTTATTTCTATAGCACATTTTAAAACAGCATGACAGCTGACCAAAGTGATGAACAAATTGAAAAGATGCAACAAAGATACAAAAAAAAACTGCATAAAAAATCCAAACTGTGAGATACAATTATAAAATCAGTGTTCAAAAACAAGATAATATAATATAGTAATATATGATATAGTGGACTTAAAAAATAGGGCAACGTTAGAATCAGAATAGCTTTATTGCCAGTGCTCCAGCATCCCGAAGCATAGGAATTTGACTCCACAGCACAGCCTGACCAAGGTCTCACACACACACACACGCACACGCACACGCACACGCACACACACACACACACACACACACACACACACACACACACACACACACACGTAGACAAAACAGATACAGGCAGACCGACTGAAGGCACAGTCTTTTTATCCCAGGTGTTGGTCATCAGAAGGATTCAGATCAGCTGTGCTCCTCAGCAGCCTGGAAGAGAGGAGGAGGAGGATGAGGGGCGGTGTCAGGCTGATCACCGGGGTTGGGTGATCCTGGCTCCTGAATCTCACTGGCCAGGCTGGTAGCCGTAACATAATTATTTTTAGTATAAGTCTGGTTTAATTTGGGCTATTAACAAAAATAAAAATTGGTGTGTAGTTTAGAATACAGTTCTTAAACGTAAATCGAAACCGAAGGTCAGAGAGACAGATTCTTGCTGCTGCGGCATCCCAAAGGTGTGTTTTCATTGGCCGGTTGCAGACAGGATTTGTAGCTTTTCAAGTATCCTAGTAGACTGTCAGAGGCTGATTTGGGTTGTGAGATGGCTCAAAAAGCTGCCGCAAAGCCGGTAAGACTTGACATCCACAGATATGCAAATCATCCTCACGTTCACTGTTTTTTCACACGATTATGCTCCCAACAAGGAATTTGGCTAAGACGGCCACACAGCGTGACCTGGATTTCAGACTAGGCAACACGCCAGGCTCAAATATGATTTGCTCTGGAACCAGGAAGACTGAGGGTGGCGCTGTTTGTTAACAGAAAAGCAGTCACGGTCGGCCATTTTTGAAAACAGAAAACCTGTCAATCCCCATCCAGCTGGAAAGGAGATTTTTGTCATAGTAACATTCTACATTGGACTGTTTTGTGATTATTTTACGGTCCAATTCATACGTCTCTACGGTTACTCCCAAAGCTCGCACCTCCTCTGGCTGCTCCTCATTCGAGTTTGCTGCTTCAAATGACTGAAATGAGCTGCAAAAATCACTGAAGCTATGTTCCGTTATCTACCTTCAATAATTCATTGCAATCAATAGTTTCTGATCAATGTGTCTGCTTCTGAGTTCTTAAAGATTGCTTGTACATATTGTAAATGAGAACAGTCCTTTGTCTTTATGTGTAACTGTTTTATCAATAAATCAATCAGATTTTATTTATAAAGCGCTTTTCAAGCAAAGTGCGACTCAAAGTGCTTTACAGAATTAAAATGACCCCAAATTCCCATAACAGTTTGAAAACATTAACAGACACACGCACGCGCGCGCGTACACACACACACACACACACACACACACACACACACACACACACACCAGTAAAAAATTTATATTCGGCTGAGTCCAGATGAGCCAAGTAAGGTAAGGCAAGGAAACACCATCAGAGGAGCCGTCTGCCCTGGCAGCATCAGGTCTTCCACACCAAGTCAGGGCGCTCAGAGGGGGGGTGGGGGGTGGGGGGCATAGACCCCCACCTCCACTTAAACACTACTGTAGAGCGCCCAGGAAGCAACAGCAACCACCGCCCCTGGGGAAGAGGGCCCCATACAGAGAAAACACTGGATTAAAATGAGTAAAAATATTAAACTAAAAGAGCTAATATAAATGACAATAGTTAGAAAATAATAAATACAATCATATGGGCAGTAAAATAATGATATTATTAAATAATGAAACTGTGCTAAAATATAATCATAAAAAGCATGCAAAGTCAGTAATAACATATAATCATGTAAAACGAGAAATAAAACTATAGTGAATAATTAGATAAAAGCTAACCGAAATAAGTGGGTCTTCAGCCTGGACTTAAAAACATGAACGTTCTCTGCGGTCCTGAGATCCATGGCAGCTCATTCCAGATCTTGTTTATCTTGTTTTTCTTTGGTGTAAAGCTAAATATGTCAGTTGCTGCTGCCTCTTGGTCAGATCGCCGTTGTAAATAAGAATGAGTTCTCAATCGACTCATCTGGGTAAATAAAGGTTAAATAAATACAAATAAATAAATTTAAGTTTAGAAATAGGTAAAAAACAGACAGCACTGCCTTTATCCAATGGACCTAATGTACACCCAGCATCCACCTTGCTCATCTCAGTTGCATGAGCTCACTCTGGAAAATTCTACACCTCTATATAAACAAGCAGAGCTCTGCTGCCACCTAGTGTTAGACCACAATAACCTGTCACAAGAAAAAAAATGGTTTTGTTCTTTATTAAAAAACAAATTATTTATTCTTGCTTTGCACCCCTTTAACGGTTATGTAGATAATTTTTATACAAAGGCAAACATATTTTTATGGGTGCAGTTGTAAAATTACATCCTATTAGGAGCTAAGAAGGAGCCAGAATGCTTGGATAATTCAAGAAAAGGTTTGAAGCTGAAACGAAAAGCTTGAATCTGAATGTCAAATTTCGAACTTACAATTTGAAAACAAAAATGTATTTAAAATAAAAAGAAGTTAAACTTAATTTTTCTTTCAACTTGAAAATAAGTTTGAATTCAATTCAGTTATTGATTACATTTTTTGTTAATTTGGATTTTTTTATTGGTTTCAGTATCAGATTTTATGTTATCAGACAAAAAAAATTTACTAGTTAATTTTTATTTCCGTTTGAAATTTATTTTTCACCTTCAGATCTTTTTCTTACTTTCAAGTTACTTTTGATCAGATTTCACTTTGATTGACAGCCGTGCAGCAGGTCCTCTCCTCTCCTAGTGTGTTGTGTTCACTAACCATGGGAGCTGCCATTAGTTTTTAGAGACATTCAATGCATTACTCTTATTGCCTACTGGTTCAAATCAAGTGCAAAATCAGATTTTGTGATAGATCTAAGCTTAAACATTCTCCAATTACTGTTTATAATGATTATATTGTACCGGAATGTACTGGAGAGCCACTGACCAGGATGAAACATCCAAGATCCATAAGTACATCAAGGACAAGGCCCCAAAAGATGACGTGCTCAATGAATGTCTCAGACAATGGCGAACAGTGTAGGAGGCAATGAAAATACTATAGTGGGAAGACAAACCGGGATGTATCACCGACAGATAACTGAAGTGGCTGATATCAAGAATGCCTACCAATGGCTAGAAAGAGCTGGTCTGAAGCACAGCACAGAGGCACTCATCATGGCTGCACAGGAATAGGCCCTGAACACCAGAGCAACAGAGGCCATGATCTACCACACCAGACAAGACCCAAGGTGGCTATGCATAGAGGCACCTGAGGCAATCCACCACATAGCTGCAGGGTGTAAGATGCTGGCAGGGAAAGCAACAAGGTCACGGTGGGAGACACCCCCTAAGGTGGTAGAGAACGAGAGAGCTAACTTCCTGTGGGACTTCCAAATCCAGACAGAAAAAAGGGAATGGTGAACCAACCAGACATTGTGTTGGCAGACAAACAACAGAGGACAGTTGTTGTGGTTGAAGTGGCAAAACCAAGTGATGGAAACATCAGGAAAAAGGAACATGAGAAACTTGAGAGGTACCAGGGCCTCAAAGAAGAACTTGAGAAAGCCTGGAGAGTGAAGACATCAGTGGTGCTCGTGGTCATCGGGGCATTCAGGACAGTAACCCCCAAACTGGAGGAGTAGCTAAAGCAGATCCCAGGAAAAACATCAGATATCGCAGTCCAGAAAAGTGCAGTTCTAGGAACAGCTAAGATACTGCAGAAGCCTGAAGCTCCCAGGCCTCTGGTAGAGGACCTGAGCTTGGAGGACACCTGTGGACAGTGAGATGGGAATCTAATTTTTTTTTATATATAGCACATGAGCATCACTCTTCCTGATAAAAAGTGTTTGCTGCTAATCCAAAAATACTTTGAGGGCTACTGGTCCATTTGATTAACAGCTGTCATCCATCCCCGTCTTTAGACTCCATCAAAGGTCATTGATATAAAGACAAGTTGAGTTTATATCCTTGTCTGTTAGTTGAGCCAACAGCACAGCAAACTATTACCATTTTACTTAGAAATCAACACAACAAAAGTGATAAAAGGCTACAAACTAGCTTGTTTTGACTAGCTTCAAAGGAGTTTTAATGTGTGCAAACAGATTCTCTGCCATCCATCATGGCGAAGGGGGCAGTCGCCTAAATGGCATGTTTCCTTACAGTGAAACGGCTCATTCTGGAATGTACTGACACTGTCAAGAACAAAACTGCTGACATCGCTTTCTGCGAACTTCTTTCAGAACTTCTTAAATATGGTTTGTATGTGGGGTTAAAAAGGTCATAATAGGTCTCTTTTAACTATAACTTTGCTAACTGCTTGTTTCTACTCCACTCAGATTTAACAGGAGAACATTTCTCTGTGGCTGAATTTTGACGAATGATGGCAGAGCAACCTTTGACTGACTGGGACAGTGGTCTATTTGACTGCTTTGAGGATGCAAGCACTTGTAAAACTCAAATGTTTTGTTTATTTCATTTAGTTAAATTCTGTTAAAGTCATTTTCACTAACCCTTCCTTGTTTTACAGGTTGCTATGGTTTTTGGTGCTTTCCTTGCCTCGCCTGCACTGTTACGGGACGATTTGGAGAGTTCAGCTGTCTTCCTGCATGTGATATCTTTTGTGGTGGTCCTGTTCCTCCTGTTGCTCTTGCTATGAGGGTTGCAATGCGAAACAAATATGGCATCAAGGTATGATAATATGGAACACTCATCCCCTCCGGTTTAAACCAAAACAAGCAGTCTAAACAAACAGCAAACATGTTCAATGTGTTCTTTAACAGGGCTCTATTGGTAAAGACCTGATGACTTCCTGTTGCTGTGCGGTTTGCTCCTGGTGTCAGATGCACCGTGAGCTAAAACATCGCAAAGAAGCTCCAGTCGTCATCAACATGCAATCCCAAACTGTTGTCATGCAGCCTGCTCCAATGATGATGATGGCACCTGCATATCCTCCTCCAGTACATGCTGTCTCAACAGGATTTGTGCAGGCTCATTAATTATATGTGGGGCCATATGGGGTTTGATGCAAAGAAACACAATAAAACATTGAGTGGTCTGTGAGTAAGGGGGAATCTATTTGAATGCATGTAATAAAAAAATGAGGAAAGATAGAAATAGTGTTGAAAAAAATACAATAAATTCAAATTTCTACACATATTGGATGAAACAATAATTTTTCAGTACATGTTTAAAGTAGTTTTTCCTGAAGTTGGGGTCAGGGCCCCACTCAGGGTCATACTAAGTTCAGAATCTTAGGATTTTTATTTCACTTTCTCTTAAAGTTTATTGTTTTTATTTTTTATCTTTCTTTTAATGTTCTGCAACACTGTTTGTTCTTGTGTGTTTTATGGTTATATTCAGCACATTGGTCTGCTGATAAGGTGTGGAAAGTGCTTTATAAATAAATAAACTGAACAGAATGTTGAAGGTTGGGTATAATTCTTAACATGATACTTTTTCTATAAATTATCTCAGAAATAAAATGAAAGCCATAAATTGATGCAAGTAGTACAATTTGATTAGAAATTATGTTTTCTCTATGATGTATTTGTGTCAGAAACTAAAATGTTCAAAAACAACTAGTTCGGCTAACTAGTTCGGGCTAACTATTTGATATTGAAAACTGAATATTAGAACATTTTGCTAATTATCATGCACCTAATAGTGAAGAATCTCAGGCATTGTACATGATTCAGACACTATTAGTCTTCTATTTGACCCATAAAGACCCATGCAGACAAGGATGGTTGGGTCAGAGTAGCCGTGTGATAAGTGACGTGAGCTACACAGACAACTTGAGTGTTTAGTAGGAATGTAGCGTGAAGGGAGAACTCAAAAGCGGAAGAGCAAGCATTGGGAGCTGTTGTCACGCAGCTAATATAGGAACACTGACGCTAGGCCAGAGTGAGAGTGGGACTGCGGAGGTGTTCCAGAAAGTAAGAGAAAAGGCTTACTTTGAGTTGGGTGAGCTGGTTGGCTTGATGGTGGAGCATAAATGCTCGGAACTCGGACAGGGATGAAGAATCGATGACTGAGTGTGGTGTGTTGTCCTCTTCCGGCTTTTGAAGATGACGGTGATGACGTGGTGGGGATTCCCGGTAATGAGGGTTGATGGGAGATGGAGTTCTAGGCTGAGGATTTGCGAGAAGTGAGGCGGATCCCCCCATCCAGGGACGGCACCAGAAGGACCAGGGTGGTGGGCGTGGAAGTCCTCGACGAACGGCGGGTCCAAAACAGCACTGGCTGGCTCCCAGGAGCGGTCCTCCGGCACATAGCCCTCCCAATCAATCAGATACTGCCAGGCACGACCCCGACAATGAGCGTCCAGGATGCGCTGGACTGTATAAACCAGATCACCGTCAACAAAGCGGGGAGGGGGAGGCGGCGAGGGGGCAAGGGAAGACGTGACCCAAGGTTTGAGCTGGGAGGTATGGAAGACTGGATGGATTCGAAGAGAGGCAGGCAGACGGAGTCTATAGGTCACCGGGATGATGCGGTGGGAGACCACGTAGGGACCCAGGAAATTGGGAGCAAGTTTCCTGGACTCGCCTTGCATCCGAAGGTGGGCGGTAGAAAGCCATACATGGTCTCCGGGGACGTAGGTGCGGCCTGGGTGACGGTGGCGGTTATGGTGTTTAGAGTACCTGGTGTTGGCACGCAGGATGGCCGCCCTCGCCTTGATCCAAGCATTCTGGCAGCGGCGAACCAGTGTCTGGGTGGCTGGTAACCCCACCTCGGCCTCTAGGTGGGCGAAAACCGGAGGCTGGTAACCATAGCACACCTCAAAGGGGGACAGCCCAGTGGAGGAGGAGACGTGGAGGTTATGGGACAGTTCAGCCCAGAGGAGATAGCGGGGCCACTGGGATGGCTGACTGGACATATAGCAACGGAGGAACCGACCCAGCTGCTGGTTGGCTCGCTCGGTCTGGCTATTAGTCTGGGGATGGTAGCCAAAGGAGAGGCTCGCGGAGGCGCCCACCAGGTGACAGAAAGCCTTCCAGAAATGAGCCGTGAACTGAGGGCCCTGGTCGGAAACTATGTCCAGGGGAAAGCCATGAATGCGAACGACGTGGTCGAGGAGGAGCTCGGCAGTCCTCTTTGCGGTGGGAAGGCTCTGCACCACCACCAGGTGGATGGCCTTGGAAAACCAGTCGGAGATGGTCAGGATGGTGCCCAGTTCATCCACAGCGGGGAGCCCCGTAACAAAATCCACCCCCAAGTGGGACCAAGGGCGTCGGTGTACCGGAAGGGACCATAGGAGGCCCGAGGGGGGCTGACTAGCGGTCTTGCTGTGGGCGCAGGTGTCACAGGCTGCCGTATACTCCCTGACGTCCTTAGCTATGGATGGCAACCAGAGGGCTTGTCAGAGAAACTGCAGAGTACGGGTAGCCCGGAGAGTTTGGAGGAGTGACCCCAGGCAAGGGCTTCCTTTCGCCACTGAGAGAGAACATAGAGGCAACGAGGCGGGGTCTCGGGAGGTGCTGGTTCATTGACGAGGGTCTGGTGAATAGCCTCCTCCAGGGGCCAGTGAAGCGTGGCTAGAAAGCGTCCCACCGGGACGATGGGTTCGGGAGTGGAAGTGTGGGGAGAGTGGGAGAACTGTCGGGAGTGTGAGTCCGCTTTGGCATTCTTGGAGCCGGGGCGATAGGCCAGTTGGAATTGGAATGGCTCAAAGAAGAGAGTCCAGCAGGCCTGGCGAGGGTTGAGTTACTTAGCTGTCCTGACGTGGACTAGGTTCTGGTGGTCGGTCCAGACGGTAAACGGGACAGCCGTGCCAAGGAGCCAGTGCCTCCACTCCTCGAGGGCCCATTTCATGGCCAGCAGCTCCCTATCCTCAACCCCGTATCTCTGCTCCATGGGGGTGAACTTCCGGGAGAAGAAACAGCATGGAAGGAGCTTACTGTATGGGCCGCGTTGGGAGAGGATGGCCCCGGCTCCCACATTCGAAGCATCCACTTCGACGATGAAGGGCCTGCTGGGATCTGGCCAGAGTAGGATGGGGGCTGAATTGAAGAGGTGAACCAGGCAACGAAAAGCCTTCTCCCCCTCCAGGGTCAGTTGAAACGGTCGGGATATATTTCCAGTTTTGGTGAGAGAGGTGAGAGGCGCTGCAATGACACTGTAATTCCGGATAAAGCGCCGGTAGAAATTGGCAAACCCCAGGAAGCTCTGCAATTGCCTGAGGCTGGTGGATGGAGTTCAGTTGGAGACCACGCAAACCTTTAGAGGGTCCATCAACAGTCCCTTGGAGGAGATGACAAACCCCAGAAAGGAGATGGTGGACTGATGGAACTCGCACTTCTCCAGTTTACAGAACAAGCGGTTCTCCAGGAGACGAGTGAGAACAGCTCGAACGTGAAAGACGTGGTCTTCCATGGTGGAGGAGTAGATGAGGATACCATCTAGATATGCGAAGACCCAATGACCCAGCATGTCCCGCAGGGTGTCATTGATACGGCACTGGAAGAGTGCTGGGCTGTTGCAGAGACCAAAGGGGATGACCCGATACTCCCAATGGCCTGTAGGGGTTATGAAAGCAGTCTTCCACTCCTCCCCCTCCTTCATACGGACCAGGTGGTAGGCATTCCAAAGGTCTAATTTGGTAAAAATGGTGGCCCAGTTGAGAGAGTCTAGTGCGGTGTTCATCAGCGGGAGCGGGTGCCGGTCCTTGATGGTGATCCATGGTGATCTGGTTAAGCCCCCGATAGTTGATGCACGGGCGCAGGCTCCCATCCTTCTTAACGAAGAAGAAGCGCTCGGGAGAGGTGGAAGGGTGGATGATCCCCTGTCTGAGAGCCTCCGTGATGTACTCCTGCATGGCCCGGTCCTCCGCTGGAGAGAGGGAGAACAGGCGGCCCCTGGGTGGCATTGTTCCCGGCTGGAGCTTTATCTCCATGTCGTAAGGCTGCCGGGGAGGGAGTGCCAGTGCTTGCCTCTTGTCAAAAACTTCTGCCAGGTCCCAGTAGGGTGCAGGAAGGGCGTCCCGATTGGCTGCGGGGTTGGAACCTGCGGGAGCATCAGGAGACAGCTGGATAACCGGCTGGTGGTGAGCACAGGTGGGTCCCCAGCCTAGCAGCCGGCCTGTGGACCACGAAATGCTGGGGTCATGGAGGGCGAGCTAGGGAAAGCCCAGGATGAGTGGTGAGCTAGGGGCGGAGACAAGGAAGAAGCGGATGGTTTCCTGATGGTCCTCCACCTGCATGCGGAGAGGAGGTGTGCAGTGACCAATGGGGAATGGCCTAAGGGGCCTTCCATCCACTGAAGTGATGGTGATGGGCCTCTCCAGTCTGATCGAAGGGATGTGGAGGCGAGTGGCTAGTCCTGCATCCATGAAGTGGTCTGCCACGCCTGAGTCCAGCAGAGCCCTGAGATCTGTCAGCCCTTGGGTGAGCTGGAGGGTAACAGGTAACAGGAACTTGTGGGCAGAGGAGACGGGGTCGGATGGGCCACGTTCACCTGGCCTGGTCTCGTCCCGGATGTAGCCAGCAAGTCCCTCAGTTAAGACAGCCTTCAAGGCGGAGTTCCCCCAGGAGAGGTTGGCTGCCACCGTCCAGAACTCAGAGAAGTAGCTGCATATGGGTTGGTCACGTTGGTGGAGCATGAGGAGACGGGCCTCTCCGCCCACGTCGCTGCTGGGGGGAACAAAGGTCTTGCGCAGTGCTGCCACAAAGGCCACGTAATCATTCACGTAATCAGGGAAGGCTGGTGAAGTGGCATGGCCTTTGGAAGACTTCACTTTTTTGGTTTGTTGTGAGTTGTTAAATATTATGTCCTTGCCTTGCTGATACTCTACTTTTGTCAGAGACTCCTCACTTGGCTTGATCCACTTGCACTTTTTGGATGGGACTGCTATGTCCTCATCTCTGGCATGGTTACGCTGCCATAATTTGAACAACACTGCTAACACATGGGAGCAACATTCTCCCAACCCTGCTGTACAGTTGCAGTGGGTCCTAGCACCACTCCATCATTCCTGATGACCACCCATGGCTTCAACTGAGGGTCATTTAATCTTTGGGAGTGATTCACCTGTAACACAGATTTAATACCATCACTATCATAACTGCTCTTGTTTCATTAACTCTTTAGGCACCAGGTTATATATATATATATATATATATATATATATATATATATATATATATATATATATATATATATAGATAGATATATATATAGATAGATATAGATATAGATATAGATATAGATATATATAGATATATGTGTGTGTGTGTGTGTGTGTGTGTGTGTGTGTGTGTGTATTTAATTGATTTAACTAATGTCTTTTAAAATACCTTTTAGAAGCTGGTAGTAATATCTGTTTATTTCATTTGTAAGGACACTTTTTTAATTAATTATTTCAAACTGTATTTACTCCAACATTTTACATGATAACACACATAAAAGGTGCCTTAGATTG